TTATAGGTTAATGGAAAATTATATTTTATTGTTAGGTTTATCTTAACACGTAATCTGAGCGTTTATTTTATACCTAATTTGGCACATTTATAATAAATAATAACCACTCTAACTGAGTGTATAATTTATTAAATTTGGTCATGTCTTTAGTGGATTTTGTTGAACGAAAAATACTGAAACTGATCATAAGCACTGATAAAATAATAAATCTTTTTAGTTTGTCTACCAAATAATACAGGGTGAGTATTAACTAAATGCAAATATTTTCAGGGCTGGTAGGTAGTATTTGTATGGTAAGCATAGAAGAGATATATAAACAAGAGCCTGAAATTATTGGCTGTGCAAATTATTAAAATGAATCAGCGGCATTAAAGAATGGCAGCAGTGTGCGTTATTTTTTGGATTAAATGTTATATTATGTAATATTTTACAGTAAAAGCAAGAAAGAGTGGTGAATGTTAACAATAATTACTAGTAACATCTCTCTCTTTCTGCTAAAATTACGGTAGTAATAGTTGAAAAACTAATTTTAAAACAAACTTTTACTAAACGCTAGCATTTACTGGAGCTTACCAGTAAATTCGCTTTGCTTTTTTTAACAGCTGTCCGTTACATACATACTATCCAAGAACGGTAAACTAATAGGATTGCTCATCCTCATAAGACGTACGTTCGCCTCTTCCCGCGCTTCAGCTGACAGTTGTGACGTCATTGTAGTCCTTGTCATGATAGTGTGTATTATTAGTTAAAAATTTTGAGTTGATTATTTTGTCAATTTTAAATGTGAAAAAGGTTTTTTTTTTGAAGTTTTTAGAGCTATAGAGTGTATAAATGCGTTCATTTTGTGTTGTGGATTGTGACAAAGTGCTTACTAAGGGCCTACGATATTGCTAATTAATTATTTTAAACCAAAATATGGAAGTACTCTAAAAAGAATGCCTGCAAAAGGTGATGCTGGGAACTGCTGTTCTTAAAAATTCATTATCCGAGTATTTAATACGATTTATACAGTTAATTTTCTATACTGGATACATATAAGGTGTTTAAATGAATAAACTAAATAATGAACGTTTTGCATCCGGCAACCAATAATGCACGTGTGTGTATTATTGGTTGCCGGATAAGGATTAATAACCATGACAAGGACTACAATGACGTCACAAAGCGAGGAGTTTTCGCATGCACCTGGCAGACACTTTTGGACTTTTGGCTGAATGAGCAGTTCTCTTAGGTTAAATGTTCTTGCATACTATCTCTGAATCTTGAAATTTTACATTTTTAAGATATACTTTCAAAATGAGCTGATTTCCATGAACATACTGTATATTGTCAGTAGTATTCTGTAACCGTGCAACGATAACAATTTCAGAAATCCCTCTTGTACTATTTCGTATACAGGGTATCCTAAATTGTATGTATATTTCGGCAATCAATTGCTTTGCCCAAAATAAGGAAAAAAGTTTATATTGAACAGGGTCCAGAAATGATACCTAAGAGAGTTACAATGCCATGAAAATGACGCTCCCAAAAAATGGTTTCTTTTGAATAACTGGAACAGTATTCAAGCGTATGGTTTAAATCTTACACGAGGGGGTCGTTATTAACTACAAATCCACAGCCTATACTGGCATTTTTATTGTTGCCAGTGACGTAGATTTTTTAATGCATATTTTATTTCTATATTTTTTTGAAGACTTAAATGTAATAACATAATAATATTAAAACTAAAGAAGAAAAGGGTTTCGGACTTCCATTGTGTTGTTGAAGAAAATTATAATTTTCAAACAATTTCTTGCAAAAAATACAAAGAACAAAGAAAAAACTATTTAAAATATCTAAATGCAACTATTCGAGTACATTTTAGTTGTTTAAAACAGATACGTCTACAAAAACCGTTCACGTTCTCTTAGAAATAAATAATAAAATTAATTAAATTTGTTTAATTTTTAATTCCACTTTTCCAACTCCCAGTGGATAACATACCAAGAATTTACAACTTTGAGAAACACCTCACTGTAGTATTGAATAATAAAAAGGATTGGGAAGGAAAGAAAGGCTCATTTAGTATGTAAAAAAAACATACCATAACTTGGTATACTGATGCTTCCAAAACCAAAGCAGAAACAGGGATAGGAGTATTTGGGCCGAAAATTAAATACTCCGAACCAATAGGCACCTACCCCAGTATCATTCAGGCAGAAATTTACGCTATCGAAAGATGCATACAATTTATCTTAGATAGGAACTATCGAAAACAGGAAATTACCATCCTATCCGATAGTCAAGCAGCACTAAACGCGATCAGCTTAAATTAATCTCAACAAATTAGGCAAAGAAAATAAAGTCCTCCTACTCTGGGTGCCTGCTCACCAAGGGATAGAAGGGATGAAAAAGCAATTGATCTAGCTAGAAAAGGAGCGAACACTCCACTAACTGGACCAGAACCGTTCTGTTTTCCAAACAGGAACCAACTGAAAGCGGAACTGAAGAATCTGGAAGATTCCATCCGTAACTTGGAATGGGTGTCCTCCAACGGTCTAAGACACTCGAAAAAGTTCCTCAGAGCTTACGACCGAGAAAAATCAAAGGGCTTCCTTGATTTAAGTAAAAATAATCTTCAGATTGTCACGGGGTTTCTAACAGAACACTGTCTTCTCAACGAATACCAACGTAGACTGAAGATGAGAAACAACGGCGAATGCAGAGTCTGTGGAGAAAATGGGGAAATACCAGAGCACCTTATCACTGAGTGCGCCGAGACGACGACAATTCGTGGCATTTCTGGCCTCTGTGGAGCCGTCTAAGATACTGACTTTTGTTAAAGGCCAGAGACTGTATGATGAGTTATAACTCGTTATAACTCAAGAAAGAGGTACACACAATAGATCTGTAAGATCGCGGTGATTAACTCCCCTCCTAAACATTTTACATTCTACAACTATTTTATTTTGTAGATTTTCTTACAATGGCGAAGTACCAATAGGACTTTTTTAGAGAGATGCATCCGCCACAGAGATATAGACATTTTTTCATTTTTTTTTGGAAATTGGTTCTTGGGATTATGGTCCGTAATAAAATATTCTTTTTTCAGTTAAACACATTATCATAGTCAACGTTTCGATCTTTATCAAAGCCTTTTTATTATAACCTTGGACGTCATAAAAACAAAATTATAAATTTACATTTTAATGATTTAAAAGTTGACGACATGCGGCAGTTGAAAATACATTTTTTATAGAAAGGGAACAATCACAACAAGCCTTAGAGGTCGCAGTGTTTCTGGCACAGGACGGCCTCTTATTATCTAAAAAAAACCTTAAATTGTTTGTGAAAATTTAAAATAGCAATAAAAAAAAACAAAAAAAAATTGTAGATTATATAGGGCTTCGATAGGGCGTATCGCAAAAACGAATTTTATCGAGTCTTTCGACACCAATAATGGCTATACGATATCGTTAGAGAGCTTAGAGCAATTTTTATTTTTATTGATGCGAGCACGAACGGGAAATAGCTCGAAAGAAAATAAATAAACCTCACAATCATGCGAGAAAATTCCAATTTGCCGTTCTTCTTAAACACGTGAATTTTTTTGATAGAGGTTGGTATTCGATCCCATTCGACCGAATGCTATTAATAATTTTCAGGTAGACTGAACTTCGATTGACAAAAACAAGTATTGGGAATATTTGTTTCTATAAAAAGAATTCGAAACATCTTCATACCCATTTTGATAGGTATTTGATAAAAAATGATGATAAAAAATCTAAAAAATCCTTCCATCCAAATTCAGACATAAAAATATATTCGAATTTATCAACACAAAATTACTTAAAAATTTGGTATTAAAATAGTCCTTGTAGTTTTTTAAAGGAATGCTGAAGCATATTTTTGATCAATGGATTTGACATAAAATTGTCATCCAAAAAATACCACAATATAATACTGAATGGTGTGGGCATCTAAAGATGTAAGGGTGCATTTATGTTGGAGCGGCGATAAACGATAAGAGCAGCGATAGTAGCGAAGCAAAGAATATTATTATATTAATTTATATGTAGGTGTTTATATTGGAGCAACGGATCTACGAGGGGGGGACTACGGGAGCTCAAGCCCTCTCTTTAGGTTCAACTATGTATTACAATATTTTTAATTTATATTGTCAGAGACGACTCCGGAGTATGTACTTTGAGTATACTTTTGTGACTAGCCCCCCTCTTCTTTCCCCAATCCTGGATCCGCCCCTGGGTATAATGCTGTTTCTGGTGGCAGGATCTATTAGGTATTTTAACATATTTGAGAAGAATAATTCGCTTAAAATTCGCGTACTGGGTACACTGGTGCCCCGATGTCATGAAAAATCTATTCAGTCCATATCTGAAGACATGGATGACTGAGGACATATCTGAAAACATGGACACTCTCTGTTAGTTTAACTATCATGTTTCTATTAGAGCATTAGAATAATAATAAAATAAATATCTAACTTATGCTCATGAATTAGCAAAATTTCTAATTGCAAGCAAGGAGTGATTGCAATGAATTCATGACACAGTATCTTTACATGCTACTCTACCGATTGGTTGCAGATTATTAGATCTTCCATAATTATAGAATCGCAAATAAAATGAATTTCCTATTTGGAAGTTTTATAGAATAATTTCTTTTTCAAAACTAAAATACGTTATATTGTATGTTTACAGAGTGAGTAAAAACTATATATTGTACTTTTCTTCGCTATTTCAAATGGCAGTTTGCAACATAAAGAAATTGTAGTAAACTATGTGTGCATATTAGAAGTGAAACGGCTATTAAATTAAAGAATTTGAAGGACATGAACGAAAAAGTGTAGTTGAAAAAGTCATCAATTGAAGATTAAAGAATAATTTGCTTCACTTTCACAAAATTTGTATTAAAATGACCGTCTGTCCGTTTGAGAACTCCATTCGGGCACCTCCAAAGACATCTAAATATAGGTAGACAGAACACTCCATTCATAAAACTCAATTTTTTAGAATCATACATGGTTTGACACTTTTATGAGAGTTAAAAAGAGATGGGTACATAAATATGACAACACGGTTGAGTTTCGTCTGTCTTTCTGTCATTTCGCTCCATCAGTGGCGTGACGGTGGTGTGGTGTTTTTTATCCAAAATTATAAAAAAAGTTATTTTGTGTATTTTAATTTAAATTTTAATTTGTAATATACGTGGTAATATCGATAATATACAATGTAGGGGCGTTTGCACCAAGTTTTTTAAGCAAAACTTAACACTATGTTTAGCTTATTTTCCTGAACTATGCTTTAATCTAACTTGAATTTATATTTAAATTAAGCGGTCAAATTTCCGGGCTAGTGGCCACTTAACCTGACTAAGGCACAAAAAATTTGTTTTACGAGGAAGTATAATTATTTTTATTATAATCCTTTGAGAAAGCTAAAAAGTGTATTATGATACCTCTACGTAAGTTCGATGATTACTTTTGATATCTTAGAGACGTCGATCAGTAGGTATATTCATTGAAAATGGATTTCCTCAAGAGTGGATGTAAGGAAAAATCATATTTCCAAGAAATGAACCTCCTTAAGTCTTTAGGACAGAGGGACAGAGACTTTTAAATGACACTGTAATATATATCCTCGGTTTAATTGAACAAAATCTAGAATATCAAAATGAGAGGTAAGTTGGAATTCTAGTAAATCAAGTCATCAGTTCATAAAAATGCCTGAATTAGAAACTCTAGTTTCAGAGCAGGAACAATTTTATAGTATATTTGGGTTTCCTTGGATTATAGGGATAGTTGATGGAACACAATGTAAGAAAACATTCACCTGGTAAGTACCTATATGTTATATTTTCTTCAATATTTATCAGCACAAGATTTCTTATACTTTACAGGGGGTAATGATGGAGAGGTATTTAGAAATAGAAAAGCATTATTTTCTCCGACATTTAAATTACTGGAAATGCTAGTCTTAAAACTATAGACAATAGACATGATTGCTTGTTGGCATGGGTCTGTGCATGAAGCCACCATTTTTTGGATATTAAGGACGTATTAAGGACCCGCTTGGAGACTGGTGACTATTCAAATTAAATCCTGCTTGGTTAGTGGTCCATATATTTACTTATTGTTAGATCATTTATATAAAATATATTCCTTAAATATTTGAGTAGGTATTCAATTTAGAAATATATTACGAATAAGATGAATTGAAAGAAATTTTTTAAAATTAAATGTGAAAATATTCAAAGGGTTCATATACTCTATTTAAATATTTTTTTATCTGTTATAAGGTGATAGTGCATATGTATTGAGGGGATATATGCAGAAAGAGAGCTGAAGAACTATATTGCTGAAGAAATGTTTCAGAATTATCGGAATATGGAAACGCCACTTTCCAATATGTTTTATGGTATAAGACCAAAATAGATCAATCTTACCTATAATATATGTTACAGTTAATATCTAAAACCTGCTAATAATAACTAGAGCTCAAATATACCATTTAGATCGCAAAAACAGTTTTCTTTCAACATTAGGGGAAGAATTATACAATAGCTAAAGTCTGAATCCTACTTGAAGAGTGCTTGAAGCTCTAGTCTGAAGTAATTGTAAAAATGGTGATGGTACCTTTTAGGTACGCCGCCAATCTTAAAGTTATTGATGTAAATTTGATTGATATTCTACAAATAATGTATTAACTGTTTAAGTACGGATACTCGGCTAAATGTTTGAGATCACTTCATTATTTATTTTTTGAGAAAATTTGAGGTTAGAATATACCTTTTGCTCGCGTCTGCGCGTATGGCTGGCGGTAACAATGAAATATTGAAAATCTGGATTTTATTTTATTTATATTTTCCTGTTAATTTTGAAAAATAGCGATAGCGATTTTGATATTCAAATTTCAGGTATTAACTACCTATAATAGCTGTTTTATTGGTACAGATATTAGCCATAACATCCACAATTTTTAAAACATAGGTATATAGCGGTTTGGAATGTGAGTGTAATTCTAATTTCACAATCGAAAACGCTATCTAATAACAAAATATACGCATTTTTGTAATAATCTACGTATAGTTCTAAATAGTAGAGACGCCACTGTTAAAGCTAGAAAGACGTAATGTTACTTACCGCCGAAATATCAATCCAGGGGTAGAATAATCCACCTTTTTACAAATTATGCACTTGCGAACCACCGTAGATAGTTAAAATACTACTTTGAATAGTTTTCTTCGCAAAAAACGCAATAATTGCTTGAAAACCTGTTAAAAACCAAAAAATTCACAACCGCAAAGGAAATCTCGCAACAACGGCCTGTAAAACATTTGATGAATGAAACCGTCAAAAATCAGCGTAATTCCTACAGATTCCTACAATTTGTAGTAAAATCTCAACCACAACGATGCCAAGCGTTGCCACAGTAATTTCCCTAATATATTTTGATATAATAATTTAAACAGAAAAAGTAATTTCTAAAAATAATTTCAAAGGTATAATCTATGTATTTTAATTAAAATTATATACCTACAAAATATTTAGTTTAACGTATCTATCGTACCCAAAAAACATTAATAAGAATAATAACATTTTTAACAACAATACTACAATCTATAGGCGCAAGGGAAATCTGTCATCATCGATTTTTGTGCAACACGGTTCGTGATCGCGGTAAAATGTAAGTTGTTTTGTCTCCCTTTATTTAGATGTCTTTGGGCACCTCTATCCACGTGCCGAGTTTGGTTCCAATCGACTCGTCATTAAGAAAAGTTATGATGATTTCGTCCATTTAGAGACAACGCACGGTGGAGTATTAGCATGAAAAAGGTGATCGAAATTCGAAAAAGCAAATGTGTTTAAGATTTCCCCAAAAAAGCTAAATGATAGTTAAATCATGTCTGCCATGAATGGCGTTGCTATGCGTGTGTTTAGTTGCATTCATTTGTTTCAACGAAACGTCAAAGTTGTTACTTCTCACAGATAAGAGGTAAATGGCTAAATTTTATGTTTAAAATTATAAATTGTTGTTGTTCTTGTGGCTCAGCAAGCTGCAGGTATGTATTCTACTAAAACATATTATTTATTTTGATATTCTCTATACTAACGATTTTTTTTGCAACTAAAAGTTATGCGTTCAGAAAATTTGATTAAATTTGTGACATTTTTATTATACTTAGAGATTTAGTTGCGCATTTCGAAGAATTCAGCATATTGTCTATATACGTTTTACGTAGTAAACATTGGGCTTTCATACAGTAAAATAAAATACTGCGACTTTTTGCGACTTTGCTGATAAAATGAGAAAAACATTCTTGGTTTCCTCTAATTTGTAAATCAGTGATATACTAATGCGAGGTGTAAACCGCGATGGCAATTTTGTGTACAAAGCGATCGCATTAATGCCATTAGCAATATAGCACAATTTGGCATTAGTAGCGGTTTTAGTGGTATGGGCATTGGTCGCGGATCAGTCGTAGCATTAGTAGTATTAGTTGCAATATTACTACTGGCATTAGTGGCATTGACCGTGGAAACACTGAAACAGTGATTTTTCTTTCTTTTTTTTCCTTTATTTTGTTCATATTATTTCCTCTTTAATTGAAAATAGCAATAATTTATATAAAGTCTACATAAAAAAATTTCGATCAACTAACGGTGTCAAATACCCCACTGTGGAACGGTTCGAAACGTTGAGGGCGTCATCCTGTAGCCCCTCCCCATTATGCCGAAATCGACCTACATTTTTCCTCAATATCAAATCTTTAGTCCCACCCTGATGAAGATGTAAACGAAACGTCGTATTCAACTTTGCAGAGTGGGACCATGTGCACTGTCGTTCACATAGCCTACCCACCAAATTTGGTCGCGATCGGACCACATCAACTTTTGACGTTTCTTAGGACAAAACTAACTGTCATAGTGACACTTGTCGTGTACGGTTAAGTTGGTCTTGGTCCAATCTATCGACATACGAAATTTTATTTAAATCGAACGATTTTTTCGCTATTGATGACGGGGTTTCATTATACACGAAACGTCGTCAAAATTTCATGAAGAGATGGGGCTCTTCGAGCTTCCGCCCCCCAGCTCACGCATAGGGCCCGAGTTATAATAAATAATAATAAACAACGCTTTATTGTACAAAAAGCCAAAATAGCTTTATTGACAAAGCATTTACACAACAAACAAAAGCACAAAAAAATATATACAAATAATAAAAAAATATCATACAATACAAATCAATTCAAAAAAAATTACGTCATTAAAATTACAAATAAAACATACATGGACATTGCAGAACACAGGCGTATCAATAAAATTTTACAAAAGGAAAATTGTAAATGGATCAAATCATGTAAGAGTTGTAAAATATTAAATACTAGATCTTTAACCAGTGTGTGAGATGATCAAAATTTAAAATTCAAAAATTGTTCATGATTAAACATCAACAAAAAAATTCGTTTACCGCATATAGAGCTCTCTCCAGTAAGTATGATTTCAGAGCTTTGCGAAATGCGGGAAAGAATGAAAGTGATTTGATATTCAGAGGCAGATGATTGTACATTTTTCACAGTTACGACGCGCCAAAGACCCATATCAACTTCCTCACTGGCTTACCATTTTTGCGATCACTACCAATTTTTGTAACGCTAGCTCGTGTGTCACGGCCTTGAGTATATACTCCCATGGCGCATAAAGAAGTGTCACTTCAATAATAAGGCTTTGTTTAATATTTTAGTTTAGTGTAAAATGTGGAAAAAGCATTAGAAGAATACGAATTAATTTTACAACATTCTAAACAAGTATATCTGTTTTTTGGTATGTACTAAAGCAATTCATATTTATTAACTTAATTAATTTTTATATTGATAAATTATTGTGTTTTTCTGTGTATAAAATAGGATATTGTAAACATTTTCTGTACTGACTCAAACCAAATAGAAATCGATTATATGTTATTTTTGTACCGTTTTCAATGAACCGATCGCAAACATATTTTATGCGGAGCGATTTAACTGAATTCCCCTATTGATCTGATCCATTACATATCGCATAACAAGCAACCGTCATCCGCGCTCAAAAGAAGACTAATACGTCATCATAAAATATAGTCCCGCCGACAAAAATGATCAATTTTATGGCGCTGTGGCTTTCACGAGCTCCCCTCTAGGCTTAGAGGTATGTTTCCGGTTTCCGGGAAAACCTATTTTCGGGGGATATAACAAATACACCGGTCAACGTTTAGAAAAGTGCGTTCGGAATATGAATAAGGCGTAATAAAGGTGAAACAGATTTTAAAAAGGATCACATTGTTGCCATGTGTTACTGCTTGTGGATTGGATAGAGATACGAGAAGGTTCAAAGCGTGAAATTTTCATCTCAAGGGAAGAGTATGTTGGAAAAAAATTAGAAAGCGATTTTATGCATTTTTGCATTGATAGTGATCTGGTAGTTCAATAGGAGTCGACGTTGCTTTCTGATATTACAAAAATGATGACATTTTTTGATATCCTCGTAAATCTAATGTAAAAAACTAAAATCTTCATAAATCACTTCGTAACCTAGTATAGAGGGTGTCCCTTAAGAAGTCTAAAACAAAGTTAAGGTGTGATTCCCCATATGTTTTGATCTGCAGGGTATGAAAATTAAAAAATCGAATTTAATTGGTTTAAAATCAGTAGTACGCCGCTGCTTTTTTTCGAGAAAACGTTTTCTTTTTCTTACAACTTTTATAATTGATCTCTTCAGTTGTACATTTAACAGTTTTCAAAGAAAAAATAAAATAAAGCCCGCCTCTGTATTCATACAGGATGACAATTTGAAAACGAATAGTATTTAATATTGCCTCTATCGATGATAGTATGAAAATTTGGCGAAACACGTCAATTTACATATCAAGGGGGACAATTTTCGAGGCATTTGTTGTCGTGTTACTTTCAACCCTTTGATCTCTAGGGCACCTACCCCTAAAATTTTAAATAGCAACCCGTATTGCTTTTACAATTTTTGTGTTTCTTATAGAATTCTACATAAACTGCATTATTTTTTTGATAATTTTATAAGGAACACAAAAATGGTAAGAGAAATAGGGGTTGCCGTTTAAAATTTTAACGGTAGATGCCCTGGGGGCAAAGGGTTGAAAGTAACACGACAACAAATGCCTCAAAAATTGTCCCCCTTGATATGTAAATTGACGTATTTCGCCAAATTTTCATACTATTATCGGTAGAGGTAATATTAAATACTGTTCGTTTTCAAATTGTCACCATGTACATGCTCGTTTTCTAGTGATTTTGAGATCTGCAATGTAGTTTGTGTGTTTATTTATTTTTTCTCAAAAATCGTTCGATGTACAAGAAAAAATTAAGAAATCAATGTTGTTCAGAAAGAAAAACAAATCAGGAGAATTAAGAAAAAAAAAGA